AAATACCATTTGACCCAGGAATTCCACTTCTAGGACTTTACCCCAAGAATGAAGCACTCCAGTTTGAAAAAGACAGATGCACCCCTATGTTTATCGCTGCACTATTTACAATAGCCAAGATATGGAAGCAACCTAAATGTCCATCAGTAGATGAATGGATAAAGAAGATGTGGTAGATATACACAATGGAATATTACTCAGCTATAAGAAAAAAACAGATCCTACCATTTGCAACAACATGGATGGAGCTAGAGGGTATTATGCTCAGTGAAATAAGCCAGGCGGAGAAAGACAAGTACCAAATGATTTCACTCATATGTGAGTATAAGAACAAAAGAGAACTGAAGGAACAAAACAGCAGCAGAAGCACAGAACCCAAGAATGGACTAACAGTTACCAAAGGGAAAGGGACTGGGGAGGATGCGTGGGAAGGGAGGGATAAGGGTGGGAAAAAAGTAAGGGGGCATTACGATTAACATGTATAGTGTGGGGAAGCACGGGGAGGGCTGTGCAACACAGACAAGTAGTGATTTTACAGCATCTTACTATGTTGACAGACAGTGACTGTGAACAGGTATGTTGGGGGGACTTGGTGAAGGGGGGAACCTAGTAAACATAATGTCCTTCATGTAATTGTAGATTAATGATACCAAAATAAAATTAATTTAAAAAAAAGACATATGCACCCCTATGTTTATCTCAGCACTATTTACAATACCCAAGATATGGAAGCAACCTAAGAGTCAATCAGTAGATGGGTGGATAAAGAAGATGTGGTACATATACACAATGGAATACTATTCAGCATAAGAAACAAAGAAATCCTACCATTTGCAACAACACGGATGGAGCTGGAAGATATTATGCTCAGTGAAATAAGCCAGGCAGAGAAAGACAAGTGCCAAGTGATTTCCCTCATTTGTGAAGTATAAAAACAAAGTTCCTTTGTTTGAGGGAACAAAATAGCAGCTGACTCTCAGACTCCAAGAAGGGACTAGGAGTTACCAAAGGGTAGGGTTGTGGGAGGGAGTGTGGGGAGGGAGGGAGATGGGGATTGAGGGGTATTATTTTAGTGCACATGGTATGGGGTGTCTCAGGGAAAACAGTGTAGCACAGAGAAGGCAAACAGTGAATCTGTGGCATCTTACCGCACTGATGGACAGTGACTGCACTGGGGTATGGGTGGGGACTTGATAATATGGGTAAATGTAGTAACCACATTGTTTTTTCATGTGAAACCTTCATAGGAATGTATATCAATAATACCTTAATAAAAATTTTAAAAAAAGAAAAAGAAAAGAAAAGAAAAGAAATTAAGTGAGGCTAATCACATAGGCATTGTGATGTAGCATTAGGCTACTACTGATCTTCTGACTACCAAAATGTATACTGTAGCAAAAACTAAAAATAGAGAACCAGACCTATAAGCCTTGATGGTTTACCCTTCAACTAAAATGGAGTCAGAGGGTGGTAGAGAAAGATAACTTTCAAGTAGTTGGGTACTATTTGCACTCCACAAATATAGCTCCAAGTGTAGCTCAAAATGGATATTACAATGAAGACAGAAGTTATAATGTTCCTCTATCCTTTTAGAGTACACTGGCTTAAATAGAAGAGTATTGGGAACTACGTATTTATAAGGAACTCAAATGTTTTTTAAAATGCACCCAGGGTTTCTAATACTAGATAATAAATTATCATCACAGGAGTACATCAGTAATAAGAGGAAGGCAAAGAAAGATTGAAGGCCATTCTGATCATATGTGTATAACTAATATATGGGATCTGATATTCCACCCAAAAATATGCCACTTTGGCGTAAGGATTATTTTGAGCTGAAGATAACTGAGAAATAACAGATGCAGAAAAGTTCTCTATCCTCCCCATTCTTAATCACCAGAGATGGTACCAACAGGCATATACATAACACACCTTAGTAAAACAACACTTATCCACCATCAATTTCCCTCATATATTTACCTTCCCTTAGTTTGTCAACCCTAAAAGCCTAAACTCCTTTTCCTTTGTCTTGTCACTTCTCTACAAATTTATTGTTCTTTGTTAAGGTGCTACATAAGCTCAAGTTCTAATCACCCCATTAAGTAACTCATCATTGAGTTTCTCCCATGTGTATGTGTGATTTACTTGCCTATAAATTGTTTTTCTTTTGTTAGTCTGTCTTTTGTCAGTTTACTTTCCAGAGCCCCAGCCAGAGAACCAATGAGGGTAGTGCAAAAGTTTTTTCCTCCCTTAGAATGTCAACACTGTAAGTTCAGGAATAGAAGAAAAGAGTTAAAGTCCAAAGAAGAACATATAATTATTTAAATAAAATAAAACACTGTTCAGGCAAGACATATCAGGGTTAAAACAATCTTAATGCCACTTCAGGGAGCCTGCAAAATTTACTTCAGAGAACAAGTAACAGAAAATAAAAAGAGGGAAACTAGGAAATTTAACACAGATTTAGTAATTAAGACGCATGTCCTTCAAATTGTGAGCACTGAATATTGTTATAAATAAGCTTTAAAAATAGCACTTTAATAAACAATAGAGTAAGTGGTTGCATTATGAAGATTGTCAATATAAGCTTACAAAAGGAATTTTAAAAAAATCTAATGTTATGCAAATGAATAATTCAGATCAGGATAAGATTTTGACTGATAGGATTCAAAACTTACTGTAACTCTGAACAGATGGAAATTAAGATGGTATATTTGGAAAGGTATGTTAAATGATTAAAAAGTGATCCTAATGATAATGTAAATACTGGCATTAAATATGCATTGAAATAATCTGCATAAAATTTCATCATGAAATGTGAGAATAAGCAAAAAAACTAATATTTACAGGTTTCAAAATATGAATGTTTAACTAAATTTACAAAGTAAATATTATGAATATACATGTGACCATTTCATCTATAACCCTCAAAGTTTGTGCAGTGGATCCTTGAACAATACAGGGTTTAGGAATGCCAGCACCATGCACAGTCAGAATTCTGTAAATAACTTTTAACTCCCCCAAAACTTAACTACTAGTAGACCAGAAGCCTTACCAATAACAAAAATAGCTGATTAATACATATTTTGTAGGGTTTATGTATTATAGACTGTATTGTTACAATAAAGTAAGCTAAAAAAAAGAAAGTGTTTTTTCAAATTGTCCCAAATCTCCAAAAATTTTTTCAATATATTTGTTGAAAAAATCCACATGTAAGCAGATCCACACATTTCAAACCTATGTTGTTCAAGGGTCAACTGTATATTAAAATGGGGTTATATTTCAGGTTGCCTTTTATTTGGGTAAATGGACAATTTTCTTTTTTATGGAAGAAAGCCACAACAAGTGAGTATTTATGAATATGCACTAATCTGTGGTTAGAATTTGCTCCATATAACTGAATATGTTTGGGTTTGAGCACTTACAGATATAAGAATGGAACTCACAAAGAGAAAGCTCCAATGTCAATGGCAACACACCAGGTGATTCTGTGCCACCAATTCTCACATCCAGGCATGATTCACATAATCCCCAAACATCTGTTCTCTTGTAGTCTGCCCAGAATTCTCTGTCATGGACAATCCTCTAGGGTTCCATAAAAACAGCTAATAACCTCACCTTGCAGAGCAGGGGGACCTACAACCATTTGCAGAAGGGAAAAAGGGGGAAAGGTCTAAAGGAAGCAAGGAAAAAAACCAGCCCCGTGTGCCTTGTGAGAGAGAAAATGAAGGCACACTTTGTACATCATTGTAGGAAAGTTGCCAACTTCAATGAGGGGGGCACCATACTATACCTGAATATACAGCCAAGTTGCCTTTTTAAAAAATATCCCTATATAATAAGTTTCTTGTCATTATCCTGGATGTTAATTTGGGGCAGGAAATAAACAAAAATGAAACATTAAAAAATGTCCCTAATAAATGATTCCGATTAGTGACCAGTTAACTGTAATTTTATGAAAAATAAGGTTTATTAATAGCAAGGACAAACCTATTAAAATACAATGCTTTCCTGCTGAGTTGTAAATTGGCAGTGTCACTACTGTAAAGATAGTTTTCTAGAGTTCAGTGCCTTTCTCTTCAGTGTCTCATATAACACAGAAAACAGTATGAATAAGCAATATATAAACATACCTTTAATCAATTATGCCTTGATCTTCCCTGACAAATACAGTATGAGAGAAATATAGAGCTGTGTCTCCCAGAGAGGATAAAAAAAAAAATCACAAGTGGCAAAACAACTTTTCCTTGAAGCAAGTAATTAGAAGAAAAACATCATTTAAAAAGTGAGGCAAAAACAAAACAAAACAAAAACACTATAAAAGCAAGACAACTGTAGCTTACTGACTCCCACTAGCAATTGTATAATACAGAAAGTAGGAGTTGCTAGCTACAGCAAGACACTATGTACTACATCTTGGGAAAAGTGATTAACTATGAGAAACTCCAGTAAATTTCATTTGTTTTTTCAAATGTTGCCTGACTTAAGGACAGGGATGGGGAGGGAATGAAGGGGAGGATGTGAAAGATCTGCTCTAATTCCTTACCATGCTTTCAGTGCTGTACACATACTGCTGCACCTCCTGGGAATATATACTCATCATGGACCTTGCTTCTTGAAGTTCAGGTGATTCACTATCCTGTGACCACTGTGTGCCAAAGTGAAGGTCCTTCATGGAGGGAACAGGCACAGCCTCTTGAAGGTGGGATGATGGATACATGTCCATGGGCTGAAAGTGATCTTGATAGAGCTCATATTCTTCATCAACAAGCATTTCTCTTTCTTCACCCATTTCCTGCAATCTGGGGGTCAAGAATTCATGCATCTCCCAGGCTTCCTTGCTGTCGTCTATCTCTTTGTGTTGGGACTGGAAAGATTTTCCCAAATCTAGAAATGGTTCATCCACAAGTTCTTCTTTAAAATAGGGTTCATCTCTAAATCCCTGTAAATAAAAGTTGCAAAAAAAATTAACTACACCTGTCTTAGAGGTGCACTCTACACACTGACTGGAAAACTAACCCCTGATATAACTGCAGTGACTAGATTCCATGTAAATGCATGGGTAAGTAAATGGGAAAAATACAAGCTCATTTCCACACAACATGCAACCCAGGAAAGACACAACAAAATAAGAGGCAGAAATCTGCCTTTGGCAAGGTGAGTGACTTATTCTCAACAGTTTATTATACATTAACCACCTGATATAGCAATTTGTTAAACTGCTACACTGAACCTTTAACTCATGCATCTCATAAAAAGTAGTACATAAATATAGATACATATCACACTATTACTCAAGCAAAGACTTAAGAGGCCAGGATTTTATAAGCCTTCTGGCCATAAAAAGAAATTGTGGCTATCTGAATGTTCAAAAGACATTCTCTACAAACTAAATATATAGGGAGTATGTCTCAACTACATTGAATATGACTCTTATAACATACTATATAAGAGAAACATTTTTCATCCCCATTTAAAAGTGTATGGCAAAAAGGAAGATAGTATATTTTTAAGTTTATTTATATTGCACTAATCAGAAGAACAGGTAAATTCAACTGAAACTACATAGTCATAAAAATGCAGAAACTTTGTGAACTCCTATGTAATGCCCGAGGAATATATGAATCTGATGAGCCTCTGACCTAACTCTGGTGAAACCTCAGAATGATGGGTACAGTGCAGTCCCATTACTCCTGACAGATCAATGACACTTTCTATTTTAAGTCCTACTCATTAAGTATTCCCAAGTGTAAATTCCTCAAATGAGTATGTGCTTCCCATTCTTCCTTACTAGCAACTAAACATTATTGCAGTGAAGCTTTTAAATTAATATAGTAAAATAAATGCTCAAACCTAGTTTTTTTTAAATGTGTGCTTAGAGGGTATATTTGAACATGTTTATGAAATTTTAAAATAAAATGTGTACACTAAAAAATATATCATGATACTAACAGAATTAAAGGGGAAAATCAAGAGCAACTTATTCATATTAGGAGACTTTAACACATCACTTACATTAATAGACAGATCAACCAGATAGAAAATAAGGAAACACAGGTCCTGACAAACACTTTGGATCAGATGGACTTAACAAATATCTACAGAACATTCCACCCAAAAGCACCAAGATGTACATTTTTCTCAAGCATACTTGAAACATTCTCCAGAATAGATCACATACTAGGCCACAAAAAGATCCTCAATAAATTAGAAAAGATTGAAATTATATCAAGCAACTTCTCAAACCACAATGGCATGAAACTAGAAATAAATTATGCAAAAAAAACCAAAAACCAAAAAAGCCCACAAACACATGGAGACCAAACAAATGGTTCTAAATAATAATGGATCAATGAACAATCAAGCAATACATGGAGACAAATGAAAATAAAAATACAACAATCCAAAATTTATGGGATGCTGCAAAAGCAGTTCTAGGAGGAAGTAAAAAGCAATATAGGCCTACCTCAAGAAACAAGAACAATCCCAAATAAATAGTTAAACTCACAATTAAAGAAACTAGAAAAAGAAAAAATGAAGTCCAAAGTTAGTAGAAGGAGGGACATAATAAAGATTAGACCAGAAATAAATAAAATAGAGAAGAATAAAACAATAGAAAACAAAATAATGAAACCAGGAGCTGTTTCTTTTAGAAAATAAACAAAATAGACAAATCCCTAGCTAGAATTATCAAGAAAAAAAGAGACTACACAAACAAGAAACAAAAAAGGAATAGTCAAAACAGATACCACAGAAATACAAAGAATTACATGCCAATAAATTGGACAGCCTAGAAAATTGGACAAATTTCTAGAGAAATATAATCTTCCAAGACTGACTGAAGAAGAGACAGAAAATCTAAAAAGACCAATTACCAGTAATGAAATTGAACTGGTAATCAAAAACTCCCAACAAACAAAAGCCAGAGCCAGATGGCTTCACAGCTGAATTTTACTAAACACTTAAGGAACAGCTAATTCCCATCCTTCTTAAAGTATTCCAAGAAATAGAAGAGGAGGGAATACTTCCAAACTCATTCTATGAGGCCAGCATCACTCTAATACCAAAACCAAAGACACCACAAAAAAAGAAAATCACAGAAATTATGAAGAACATAGATTAAAAAATCCTCAACAAAATATTAGCGAACCAAATTAAAAAATACATCAAAAAGGTCATCCATCATGACCAAGTGGGATTTATTCCAGGAATGCAAGGATGGTACAATATTCGAAAATCCATCAACATCATACACCACACCAACAAAAAGGACAAAAATCACATGATCATCTCAATAGATGCTGAAAAAGCATTTGACAAAATTCAACATCCATTCATGATAAAAACTCTCAACAAAATGGGTAGAGAGTATATGTACCTCAATACAACAAAGGCCATATATAACAAACCCACAGCTAAGATCATACCAATGGTAAAAAGCTGAAAGCTTTTCCTCTAAGATCAGGAACAAGAAAAGGACGTGCACTCTCACCACTTCTATTAAATATAGTACTGGATGTCCTATCCATCACAATCAGACAAGATAAAAGAGATAAAAGGCAACCAAATTGGTAAGGAAGAAGTTAAATTGTCATTTTTTGCAGATAACATGATATCATATAGAGAAAACCCTGAAGACTTCACCAAAAAGCTATTAGAATAAATAACTGGATTCAGCAAAGTTGCAGGATACAAAATTAATACACAGAAATCTTCCTATATACTAACAACAAACTGACAGAAAGTGAAATCAAGAAAATGATTCCATTCACAACTGCATCAAAAAGAATAAAATACCTAGGAATAAACCTAACCAAGGAGGTGAAATACCTATACTCCGAAAACCGTAAGACACTCTTGAGAGAAATTAAAGACAACAGAAATAAATGGAAATCTATCCCATGCTCATAGATAGGAAGAATTAATATTGTCAAAATGGCCATCCCACCCAAAGCAATTTACAGACTCAGTAATCCCTATCAAAATACCAATGGCATTTTTCAATGAATCAGAGCAAAGAATCCTAAAATTCATATGGAACCACAAAAGACCCCAAGGAGCCAAAACATCCTGAGAAGAACAAAGCTGGGACTATTACTCTCCCTGACTTCAAGCTATACTACACAGATATGTAATCAAAACACTACGGTACTGACACAAGGACAGACCCACAGATCAATGAAACAGAATAGAGAACCTAGAGAGAAACCCACACATGTATGGCCACTTAATATACAATAAAGGAGCCATCAATATACAATGGGGAAATGACAGCCTCTTCAATTAACTGGTGTTGGGAAAAATGGACAGCTACATGCAAGAGAATGAAACTGGATTACTAATTCCATACACAAAAATAAACTTGAAATGGATTAAAGACCTAAATGTTAGACATGAAACCATAAAACTCCTAGAAGAAAACATAAGCAAAAATTTCTTGAACATATAAGCACAAGCATTTTTTTCCTGGACACATCTTCTTGGGCAAGGGAAACAAAATTAAAAATGAACAAGTAGGACTGCAGCAAATTAAAAAGCTTCTGTATAGCAAAGGGCACCAGCAGCAGAACAAAAAGGCAACCTAGAGTATGAGAGAATATATTCATAAACTATTCATCTGATAAGGGGTTAACATCCAAAATATATGCCTCAACACCCAAAAAAAAACAAATAACCCAATTAAAAATTGGGAGGAGGACCTGAACAGACATTTCTCCAGAGAAGAAACACAGATGGCCAACAGGTATGTGGAATGATGCCCACAGTGCTAATCATCAGGGAAATGCAAATCAAAACCACAATGAGATACCACCTCACACCAGTCAGAATGGCTGCCACTATCCAAAAGACAAGGGCTGGTGAGGATGTGAAGAAATGGGAACCTCCCACATTGTGGTAGGAATGTAAATTGGTGCAGCCATTGTTAAAAGCCGTATGGAGTTTCCTCAAAGAACTAAAAATAGAAATACCATATAACCCAGTAATTTCACGTCTAGTAATTTACCAAGAAAAAATCCTTGATTCAAGAAGTTATATGAACCCCTATGCTTACTGCTGTTATTTACAATAGCCAAGATATGGAAGAAAACAAAGTGCCCACCCATAGATGAATGGATAAAGAAGATGTGACACATATACACAGTAGACTATTGTTTAGCCACAAAAAGAAAGAAATCCTGCCATTTGCAACAACATGGATGGACCTGGAGGGTATTATGCTATACAAAATGAGCCGGGCAGAGAAAGACAAATACCACATGATTTCACTTATTTGTGGAAAAACAAAATGAACAAAATAGCAGTAGACACGTAGACACTGAGAAGTGACTGGTGGTTACCATGGGGTACAGGTTAGGGTGGGTGGGGATATATGCAACCCTGTGCATATAGAGGATTATTTAATTTGTACATATTTAGCCAAGATACCTGAAATAAGCTTTTGCCTTCTTTCTAGAAACTTTAGTTCACAGCAAACCATTCAAATGGGAAATAGGTTTACTAAGTACCTTGGGTGCTTCAAGTATTAAAGATGAATTTATATCATGAATTGTTCCGGAAAGTTCAGTATTCTCTTCATTATTGTTTGAATGTAAAATTTGATTTTCTTCCTCTTTATCACCTTCCTGAAAATAGAAGCACTTTCATTTTTATATTTTTTCCTAATTAAAGAAATGTTTTTGTCAACTGTGAAGCTATTTTTTTAACTGAGATATATTTGACATATAACATTAGTTTTAGGTATACAACATAATGATCTCATATATGTATATACTGTGAAATGATTTACACAATAAGTTCAAATATGCAATACAGTATTGTTAACTATAGTCACCATGCTGTACATTACATCCACAGAACTTATTTATCTTACAAAAGGAAGTTTGTACCTTTTGACCACCTTCACTCATTTCGCCCAACTGCCCCTCTCTGGCAACCACAAAGCAATTGCATAATCAAGAAAATACCTTAGTTTCAAACTCTTTTCAGATTAATTCTCATCTTCCCATGAAAGCCAAGTATACAATAAAATGTATGCAAATTGTTTCATTAGAAAAAACTTTCATTAGAACAAACTTTTCTTTAATAATTAAAAAGAAAGCCATATTTAGGTCAAAGCTCCTCAAGTTCTTTTGTTTTTAAAGTATTCCTTAAAGAAAAAAGAAACACTTTCCCAGGAATGGACCTTAAGAAATGTATAAGTATATACAGAGTGATATTCAAAATATTTAACAATGGCAAGGTACAATCACTCTCCATCAGAAGAGGTGCAGCCATCCTGCTCTTACCAGTTAAATAGCAGCTCCAGGCTGCTAATTATAATTATCTGAAGTAGGATTTTGCANACTTTATATATATATATATATATATATATATATATATATTTACGATGTTATGTGCCAGGTACAGGTTTAAACACTTTCAATATGTCAATTAATTTAGTAAATTTATTAATATATACTCAAAGAAGTAGGTGCTGTTATTAACCCTCTTTTACAGATGAGTAAAAGGGACCCAGTAATTTACCCAAAATTACATAGTCAGTCAGTTACCCACCCAGAATTTGAACCCTAGCTGTTTGGCTCTAGAGCCTGTGATCCCCAACTTACAGAAAAGAGAGTGGGAGCTGACAGGTTAAATAAATGGCCAGGAGACACACGGCCTTGCAGATCACAGAACTAAGCAAAACCCAACAGCTTTCTGGCTCAAGAATTCCATTACCAGCTCTGTCCTATCAGTTCTGAAGATAAATGCAGTTTTTAAAGTCAGTTCATTTTTTTGGATCTGGTACATTTGAGGTGAGTTTGTAGAAAAGAGAAGTCACAGTCATGGTCTACATGAAAATGTAACATAAGACATATAGATAATACATATTTATATAACACAAGACTATATAATGCAAGACAATAAATATATAAATGTATTATGTAGATAATATATATGTATATAATACAGGACTTAAAGTAATTTTATTCTAACTTTTATATATTCAAGTCTTTCTGTTCCAACCTGACTTTGGATATATTCACACTCTCTACTCCACTTCTGCTGTGGACTGAGTCAAAAAAGCTCAGTAAACATTAGGTAATTAGGTAAGGGACCACTAAGCAGTCCATGAATGAGATACTGAGACCTCAGAGAAGATCCATACATCACTGCATATAGTTCACAAACAGCAGTTTTACTAAAAGCATCCTGATGTTAAAGAAGGAATTAGTGGTTATTCTATTGAGAATTTTTAGAAGTCTTAAAAGTTTCAAAAGTCTTTAAAAGTCTCTCCATCCCTTTTGTGGCTTCCCACTACCAAGTATCCTGACAGCCTTCTCCTCACTGAGGGAAGCCTAGGCAAAGGCCCACCTCACAATTATTACATTCCAAAACCCTCTCAGTGAAGCTCCAAGGTTACAAGGACTGCATAGCTCTACCTCTGCCAGAAATACTACAGGAATCCACACCCAGTTGGTACTAAGGTTCGTTTTTTACATTGCCTGAGACTTCAACATCTTCAAAGTCAAGTCATGCTGTTGAAGTTCTACAGGACATAAATAGTTTGGGATTTCCTCTGGCAGGAAATAATCATCAGGGAAAATCTAGACAAAGTTTCTGCCACAACTCAAAACACCAAGATGATGAGATCTGCATAAAAACATCAACTCTCCCCCTCCTTTAATTTGTCCAGAAATCAAACTGAATATCTCATGGTGGCTCATGTTGACTATGCCAATACCTACAAGCCAAATACATAATAAAGTCAAGAACTTAACTTAGCTATGTACTATAGTCAGTTCTGAAGTGTCTAAAATGTTTGATAGGCATATTTTACAGGCATCCTTATGGGGAATACATAAACAATAAAAAAGTAATACATGAAGGCCATGTTGAGGTTCCCCAATGCAAAAATACTACGTGTAGTACATGGATCTAGCTATTACCTATGTAAAGGAACATACTCATCTATATTATATAGATATCTATATTTATATAGATATCTATATCTATCTATCTATCTATATATATGAATACATGTAGTATGTTAATATAGTTCATAGAATAAAAGAATTTTAGAGTTAAGAAAGATCTTAGGAGTTTCCTAGTCATGTTCAGTCTTCAGAAATGAAAATATAGGCTCAGAGAACAAAAGTGGTATATCTATGATCAAATTACTAGTACAATGTTTCTCAAAGTGTGAAAAAGGACCTCAGATTTACATAGGTGACTCACTGAAGGTATGCCTGGATGACACATTAGAATCACTAAGTGAGAATCTGAGGGTAGGACCTGGGAAACTACATTTTAAGCATCTTTCAGTTGGTTCTTATGTACATTATGTATCTTTGAGTTGAAACCTGCTGGGCTAACGAGTGAAAGCTAGAAATAGAGTGAAGGTTTTATGAAATCCAGTCCAACACTGTACTACAACTGTTATCCGTTTGTAACAAGACACTCTGATGATCAGAAAAGCATATTAAAAGCATAACCAAAACTGCTATATAGCTAAAATTATATGGTTTACTGGATTCCAAATTATGCCACCTCAACATTATTCCCAAATAGAAGTTAAAATGCATAGACTTTATAATTTACACCATAAAGAATGTGATAGAATTTAGAAGTCTATGCTAAAAGTATGAAGATAAAAACAGTAGTAAAGGTTGTAGAACCAGTAATTAGCAGCTAGCATTTATGTAATAATGTGCTAAGCACTTAATTAATAAATAAATGAATAATCTTTAATTCCCTAAACCTTATGAGGTAGACATTATTTTTTCTGATTTTCTAAGTTGAGGACATTAAGAAATCTACAGAAAGACACACTATAAGTAAACAGAGAACAGGTATTCAAGGCCAGGTATATTTGTCTCCAAAATTCATGTTCATAACTTCCATCCTGTCATTGCTTCCTATATTAACAAAATTCAATACTTACCACCAATGGCTTACAGATGCCAAGGTGTACAGTGCCTGGTGGCACAGTTTTCAACACTTCCACAGCTTCAGCAAGTGTGGTATTTTCCAAACAGTATTCATTGACTGAGACCAGGCGGTCTCCAGGTAACAGTTCACCACTTCTTTCTGCTACACCATCTGCCACCAGGGAACGGATCACAATTACTGATCTTGTGGGATCTAAAGGGTCCTAAGGATCAAGCAAAGAAGAAAGATGAGTCAATTTCTAAAAGCAAGTATATTCATGCATCCCATATGACTATTTTACTTTATGAGTCCAGCATTCTGGTGATAGTCACCCAAAGAGGTCAAAATCTATTAAAATATCACTGTATATTCACATAAATATCAGCTCATATCAAGGTGAAGACATAATCTGAACAATTTCAACTGCATGTATGAGTGCTCAGTACGTATAAATTTCCTTAAGCTTTTGGTGACTGATATTTTGATGGACCACACAAAGTTTGGAGACAGCTGAGCAAGATTCTTTCATCCTCAAGCATAGTCATACTGTGGATCAATCACAAGCCCATTTACTACTCTTGTTGGGCAGTAAGCAGGCTCCAATAGAAGTATACTATGGAAAATGATACTCCATTCTTGTGCATTCCACCAGTATAGAATCATCCCACTGAATCACCTAAGTTCAAAAAAGACATGGAAACTATGGAATATTCCAAGACATTAAAAAAGGTCTGTTTGAAAGTAACATCACCAAAATTATAACATGGTATAGGTGCCCCTAGGCAAGAACTATTTCAGTACATAGAAAATGAGTGTTGATTCATGAACAAAACCAATGTGGAAATATATCTCACCCATTGGAAGTGGGTTATTAAACACTGAAGATAACATTGACATCAATAAATACATTTGTTTAATAAAAACTAATTTATAACCCCACTATTATATTTTATTTTAATCAACAAACACTTACATATAGCACTTATTACACATCAGGCTCTGTTTTAAGTGCTTAACAATCATTAATTTATCTAATCTTTAAAACAACTAACTCCAGGATGTGGGGAGAGTTATTGTCTGTACTTTTACAAATGAGGAAACTGAGGCTCAGAAAGTCAAGGAAACTTGCCCAAATCACTCATCTGGTAAATGGCAAAGCCAGAATTGAAACCCAACCTTTCTGGCTCCTAAGTCCTTGCTCTTGACCACCATGCTCTGCCGTGTGCTCCACAACAAAATAATAGTCAAAGAAACTGTAAACAAAGAATCCTGAATGGAAAAAAAGACACATTCATATGGAAATCTTACGCTTGAGTAGAATTTCTTAATTTGTCCTAATGGTGGAAGTATATGGCCCTGTAGTAAACCTCAAACTTAGTAAGGGAGAAAAAAATAATCAAATCCCAGTCATAAGATTTCCTTTGGCTTGTTTATTTTGCACCTATTGCTTCATTATGCAAACAGTGTTCCATAAAGGCGAGATGTTAGTAACACGAGACTCTACTACAGTTAGTTTCTATTAAACCCTTCCTGAGAAGGAAGGTGGAGAGAAGGTGCCACATTTTATGTTATAATTACAAGACTTTGGGATTAGCAGAGAGAATTTGCCAAGTTCCAGGCTTTGTCAGTTTTAAGTAGCTAATGGTTCTTTTGAAATTTTCTGATCCAGTTTTTTATATCTCTGCGTTTCAGACATTGAGGTTCCTTTTTCCAGTATGTGTGGAATTTTAACCAAATATATCATATTTTAATCAACAAAGGCTACACAGCTAATTCCTTGAAAAATGTCTTCAAACATAGCTTATCTTACTTTCCTTTACTAACCTTTCTTTTCCACTTCTAGGTCAAGAGGTTCTTGGTAAATTTCTAACATGCTCTGGTGTATAATACTACATATTTATTGAGAGGGCTTAGGTAAAAATAGTCATGGGTACTGATTAATAAAGTGCATAGTGTTAAACTATAATTACACCAATATTTTCAAGTAGAGGGAGCTATTGCCTAGGAAGAGAATAGAAAAGAACCAAAAAAAAAAAAAAAAGGAGTGCAATCAGTGCCATAATATAAAAGAGCTGTCTATTTCATCAGGAGCAACCATGAATCACAACACACTTTTCATTCTGAAATATGAAACCATTACATTTTAAGTTTGATACACTAATAAATAAGCTGTACAATTATGTCCTTCATTTAGGATGTCAGTTTTTGATGAAAACCTTTTTTATTGAGGGGGAAGGGAAACTACATAATAGCTTATTCCCCTCATGAAATGCACAGAGAGTTGCTATACTTCATACTAATAATTACTAAACTTTGTTAGAGAAAATTGCAACAGTTAAATATATTATCAAAAGCAAATAAGTGATTTCACTAGGTTGGTGCAAGCAATCTCTGTAGTTTCATGTACAAGGAATCAAAAAGTATTATCTTTAATCTAAATAAGTGAATAGGTTTCAAAATGCAACAAGTTGAAATGATAATCAGAAACATTTCAAAGGAAGATTGACCAGGAAATAATGGAAATATAAAGACTAATAGATTTCCCTTGTTATAGAAGTTGTGGCAAGCATTTATTTACGCAGCATGCAGTCTTCTTAAGACCTCAAACTAGTACCAGGTATGCTTGCTTACTAAAATTTATTCAGGTGTAGACCTCTTAGTTATTCTAAACACTGTCTAATCTACCACCCCTTTTTCTGGAGGAGAGAATCCCACAGCAGCTTCTTTGTCACTTAATAAAAATAAAAAGACAAACTTTTGAAGATGCCCCATGATATATAATTACTATTTCATTTTCTATGATGACTGTTCTGTGTGATTTCCCATTTAGTTGAATGAAGTTGCTTTAATGAATAACAGTCATTTCCTTTCATGGTCATCACATTTAGCAGGCACTCTATGGAAAAAAGGCATCTGCTACTGCCTACTGGGGTGGCTACTATTCTTGAGGCTTTACTACATAAAATGATATTTAAAGATCAGACTGATTCAGGCTGCTCCTCATCAAAAAGGTCTTTTTTGTTTTTAAATAGAGTCCACAATATCATACCCATGTTATATCAAACAAAATCTTATAAAGGTATTTCTCAACATTTCTACCCAACTCCTAGAGCCCATACAGATTTTTTAAGCCCCCATCAATTTTAATCACCTTTTATCATACCTTAAAAATCTCTAACTTTTCTTGTTTTGGTAAATAACACTGCAAGGAACACTATTTCAGAATTAAGAGGTTGTTTTAGACTGAACAGTCAATAGAGGGCACTAAAGACCAATCACAGACCACGAGAAACATCATCTCTATGCAAGCCATTCTCTTCTGATTCTTTCCTCTTTATTCAAAAGGCTTATATTATCATGTTTGATCTAACAGTATACCTTATGCTTGTTTCTACTCAACCATTTATGAAAGTTTCTCTCTAGAGCTCTCAAAAAATATTATCCAACTCCTACAATCAATTAAGAACAACCAACTCTCACCAGAATATGTACCTGAAGACACGGAGATCCGACCTGAATTCCCCTCGCCACTTAGCTATGAAATCCTGAGAATCCAACTACCCACTCTATCTCACAAATGAATAAAACCACTGAACCTGTCTGAGAAAAAGGTGGATGTAAGATTTTTCAGGTCTCTTGAAGTGATGCTGATGGTCGATATTTTATTATAAGCACAGGATGTTTCAATGTTGGGGGAAATCTAAGTTGACAAAGAAACTCCTCTCCTCCCATAACCCATGAGCGGCATTACCACACACCCAAACATTCACTTACTCTCTCTCACCCCCACTGAGTTAGCTAAGGCACGTCAATCTGATATTCTATATCTCTTCTGCCTGGTACTATCTCTCCATTTCCACTTCCACAACCTTGGTTCAGCTTCTCATTATTTCTTGCCTATGCAACCGCTACTGTCCCCCAGTAGGTCTGTCTTGAGTCTTGCCCCCATCAGTCTGTTTCCTACAAAAATAAAATAAAAATAAAAATTTGGTCACAGTTCCTACTCTGCCTAAAACACTTCAGTAACATCCACTGCCTTCAGGATCAAGTCCTAACTGCTTGGTAAAGAATTCCCTTCACTTCAGATATGCATTTCAGCTTCATCTCCTCTTGCTCTCCCCTCATGTACCCCCATTTATCTACACATGGACCCAACAGGACAGAACTAATCACAATTCAGGGACAGTGAAATGCCTTAGCGTGCTTCCTGACATCCTACAAACCATTCTATCTGCCAGGAATGCTTTCCCTGCCCCACTGCCACGTATTATATCTTTGCCACCAGAGTCAGCTCAAGTGTCTCCGCCAATGAGAAGCTTTTCTGACCCCCTGGAGACTCGGGCACTTCCTACCCTATGATATCCCTGAACCTAAAAGAGACCTTCCATTATAGCATCTGTCATAATGTATTTTCCTTACGGTCTCTGACCTCCTAGAATAACAACCTTCTGCCAGATGTATCCACAGCACCTTGCAATTTCCCTATTACACCACTTTTGAGATTTTCCTGAAACTATTTTAACCATCTTCCCTACTAAAAATAAGCCTCATAAAAGCAAGGATATGTTTGCTTATTTGCAGATTTCCAAGGCTAGTGCCTTCTGCAGAGAAGGTACTGGATAGTAATTAAAATATCAAAGGACTGGATCTATTTTGTTTTTCTCCCCTCACTGGGCTATAAGTACACCAAAGGCAAAGGCCACAACCCTTGCATGTGGACAACAATTGTTAACATTACTGACCTCTTGCCATGCCAGGCATGTTCTAGGAATCTTACTTATTAGAACCCATTTAACCTCCACACCATGAGGTAGGTACCATTATCCCTACTTGTAAGATGAGAAAACTAAGAGAGAGGAAAAAGTTAACCAAAGCACACAGTTGAAAAATGGCAGAACCAGAATTTAAACCACCCAGTTAAGTTCCAAAGCTTATGCTCTTAGTCACTAAGTGATGCATCTAAGCACACAGTTGAAAAATGGCAGAACCAGAATTTAAACCACCCAGTTAAGTTCCAAAGCTTATGCTCTTAGTCACTAAGTGATGCATCTTCTCTATCTTTAAGTATTTGATAAATAAATGAATATTGAAAGAAGGCAAAATGATAGAAGATATATGTATTACCTTGCCGAAGTGTGTAAACTGAGTCCCTTACATTTCATTCTTGGCCACTAGAGGATTCTACTTCAGTACTGGCTGATGAAAAGTTAGAGAGCACAGAAT